CCTCCGCCTGTCTGTAGTGCTGAGAGCTGTCTGGCTCTGTCTGCACGAGCCAGACACTTTTCACTTTGTTCACCAGTCCTACCAGCATCAAGACCAAAACAGATGAACTCAGCAACAAGAGATGGTTGCTAACCTTTGAAGCAGCTCTTTCTCGCTCTTCATTTCCCCGTATAACTGTCTGGGTTGACAAATACAGTATACAACTTCATGGTGTGTAGACAGAGAAGGTATCTAGTAATATGCACACCATCAGTCAACATCTGCAATCATTCACATGGAAAGAAACTGATCAAGCTGAGAAATCTACCCTACGCCCTTTTAGAATTTGTTTAGTGTAGCATTACTTCCCTGGTGTCGAGCTACATAAATAGCTACGTTGATTTACACGTGTGTCATAAAACTACATTTCTGGCCATCATTTAAAATCTACAGACCGTGTACAGTCTTGCATGTTGTACGGATTACTGTTGATTCTAATGGCCTTTTCTTTCTCAAGATCTTTTTTTCCCCATCCCATTACTACAACTCTACCCAGTTGCCACCTGTTGGTTTGGATCGTTTTCTCAGTGTAGACGAGTAGCATAGTGTGAATTACTGTGTGAATGTATATTCTCCATATGTCTGGCTTTCTATGAAGATTAAAAACATGATCATGAAATGGCAGAAATCTGACGAGTCTAGTGTCTGAAACCTGCCTTTCTAACCATCCATTATTGATTAGTTTGCTTATCCAGACCCAGAAAGAGGAAGACAAAAATAGAGAGAGATGATGGATGGAGACAGCGTAACCACACTAGAATGACATTACCAACATGGTCAGTGCCTGCTGTAAATTTTGAAGTGGGCTGAAGCTGAAGGCAGGGACATGCTGCTGCATACAAATGAGTGGATGGATAAAACTAGAAAAGGAAATTAAGATTCTGCCAAAAGGCAGCCCAACCAGTCACATAATACTTGAGTCGCATGTTGGCAAGCACAATGCGGGAGCCCGAAAGTCATGTTTCTCCTGCAACATTTTCCTTTTTGTAGCTCAAGTTGGTTTTTGCAGCAAAATGCCACCAGCTTCAGTCTGTTTTGCTGACAGAAGTGATGGTTGCCCTGGATGCCGTTCTGAGCTGGCCTAGATACAGGAGCCACACATACTGCTGCGAGCACTCATTATACCTGAAAACACCCTGGGCTATGGGCGCAACGCACACACACTGACAGCGATGTGCCACTGTGAGTCCAAGCTGTCACTCTGAGCTGTTTTGACGGCAGCTATCCAGCCCGCTCTCAGAAGCCCCACCCCAGATCTGTCCTCCTCTATTACTGGACTGGTTTGCACAGACACACAC